ATTTTGATTAAATTTTTTTTAGGCGCCAAGCTTATGGCCCTCTTGAAGATGACCGGAGGGTTGAGACCAATTGCCTAAAGGAACACGCTTAGATGCCTCGTGTCAAAATGTACTGGAAGCAAGGCCCTCTTTGAGTCTAAATTTTTTTCGAGGATCTGCGGGTGGGGTGTGGCTTTAAATGAGAAACAAAGTTAGCTTCACCTCCGCTCCAAAAATTAATTCAGCGCAACGGATAACCATGCACATTTTTTCTAAAATTTGGAATTTGAGAATGCCTTTACCATTTCAAATTTAACTTTCTAAACAGAGAAGTTTTGATAAATCATGTGGTTTTTGGTTGTCCAGTATTATTTAAGTGCACCCCCTTGCGCTTACAGTACACATAGTTAAACAACAAGACGATTCTGAAGCCTCGCCTCTTTTTGTGCAAACATTTCAGAGATAATGAAACAGCTAGAGCAGAACGGCGAAAACGTTTAGTTCTAAGATTATAGAAATTTCGTCGAAAACAATTAGGTAGTACCGCCTAAGCTTGAACATCGGAAAATGCAGTTTTTGTGTTTTATGACCGGCCAGTAAAACGCAATTAAATTAAAATGCAAAAACAGAAAAATGTGGTTCCAAGCGAGGCCGACCTAAAGTGTGCGAACTGGCAATACATGGACGATGAACTCTCTAAGCCGCTAGAAACAAAAAAAGACTGAAGTTTACGTCTTTTGATAATTTTTTGTACAACTTCTAAGATGGTTAATTATAACCCTCCAAGATTTAAAAACTCCTTTCGTAGCAGCGCCGGGTCTTCGCATCACTTCCCGTACCTCAAAAATTTATCTATTTTCTATCTATTATATATTTAAATCCGGGCTTCACTATCTCGCCATGTTTAAGCTTTTTCAACGTATTATTTTTGCATGTTTAAGCTATATCGTATATTGCAATGGTTAAGATTTTTTTCGAGTTTGAATTCAGTGTTTATTTCACCAAATTTGAAATTAGCAACCCAATATTGGGATGCTGTCAGGACTTCCCCTGGTGTTGCGGTTTTGGCTTCCATATATGAATAACCAAATCCTTTAAGTTTACGAGATACGGCAGTTTTCGAGATTTTTCAGAAATCTCTAGAAACCTTACATTTTGAAATCTTTACAAAATTTGAAATTCTCATCACTGTATTTGGGTGTTGCCAGGGTACTCTGAGGGTTTGCGAATCCTGCCTCCAAATGTCAGTTCTCAAATCCTTGTAGTTTTCGAGATATGACGGTTTTTAGAATTTGTTGAAAATTTTCCAAAAACTTAGATTTAAAATTTTTTAAAAAGTTTGAAGATCTCAATCCTGCAGTGTGAAACTGTGAGGGTAATCTGAGGGATTGCAAAACTTGCATCCAAATGACTGCTCAAATCTTTGTAGTTTTCGAGATATGACGTGTTTGCTGTTTTTTTTTTGTTTTTTCAGAAAACTTAGATTTTAAAAACTTTAAAAATTTAATATAAATATGAATAATTTTTTAAAAGTATTGAAATTCTCAACCTTGTAGTTGGGTACTGTTAGAGTATTCTCAGGAGTTTCATGTTGCAGATTTTGCATCCACTGGGACTGCTCAAATGTTTTTAGTTTCCGAGATGTGACGTTTGTAATGTCTTTTTTTTTTAAATGTTCAAAGAATTTAGATATAAAAGTTTTCAGTTCCTATCTCTGTATTGAGGTTTTGTCAGGGCGCTACTAGGGGTTACGAGTTTTTCCTGGAACTGCGAGTGCTTAAATTCTGGTAGCTTTCAAGATATAACGTTTTTTGTGTTTTTCTTGTCAAAAAAGTGTTCAGAAAACTTAGTTAATTTTTTCCTTCAAAAATTGGAATTCCTAATCTGATGTCAGAGGCTGTCAGAGTACTCTCAGGGGTTGCAATTTTGCCTCCAAATATGAGTGCTCAAGTTTTTGTAGTTCTGGAGATATGTCACTTTAAAAAAAATAGAGAATTTCAATTTGAAGTTCCCAACCCTGTAGTTGGGTGCTGTGAGTACTCTCAGAAGTTGCAAATCTTGGGTGCAAATGCGACTGCTCCTTTGCTTTTAGTTTCCGAGAAATGGCGTTGTTCTGTCATTTTAAAAACTTTCAACGAACTTAGATATAAAAAAAATCACAAAATTGTATGGTTTTTCAAATTTTGAATTAAAAAAACTTGAATAACTTTACAAAATTTGAAATTACCAACCCTGTAATTGGGTGCTGTCAGAGTACATTCAAAGGATGCAAATTGTATTTTCTATATCTGCGCTTTTGTGATCTATCATAATTTCAATTCGAAGCACCGAAGGTGCGTTACACGCTGGTATTATTGCAAGCTACCATATAGGAAAGGAAAACAAGACCGTCTATCTGCTAGATAGATTTCTGGATACATATTTGGACACTAACAAGCTTTTGACCTAAGAAGATCGTTATATTTCAAGAAGAACTGCCCTCAACACGCGCAAGGAGTACGAGTACCGATAGTGGCACCCTGCAGTCAAGTTATGAGGTTTTTAAGTCTGTTCGTTTTAGTCACATGATTAACTCCGTTCTTATTTGGCGCTATTTTAATACTCTTTTTTATTGTGATTTTTTTATATTTTTTTTGTAATTTTTGACATCCATTCCGGTTTTACAGGTGATTTGTTTTTTTAGATAAGCTGATGATGCCTTTTTTGTCGAAAACGTTTCTGGAATTTGTTTTACATTGATCTGCCGAATTTCATCACTATATCTGCTAGCTTGCAATGTTATGTTTATGTGGTATTGCAAGTGATGCGAAGCTCCGGTGATGCTACAAAAGGAGTTTTTAACGGATAGTAGGACAAATAAGAACGGAGTTAATCATATGACTAAAACGAACAGACTTGAAAACCTCACAACTTGACTGCAGGGTACCACTATCGGTACTCGTACTCCTCGCGAGTGTTGAGGGCATTTCTTCTTGAAATATAAAGATATTAGGTCAAAAGCTTGTTAGTGTCCAAAAATGTATCCAGAAATCTATCTAGCAGATAGACGGTCTTTTTTTCCTTTCCTATATGGTAGCTTGCAACAATACAAGCGTGTAACGCACCTTCGGTGCTTCGAATTTATGATAAATCACAAAACCGCAGATATAAGAAATAAAATTTGCATCCTTTGAAAGTACTCTGACAGCACCCAATTACAGGGTTGGTAATTTCAAATTTTGTAAAGTTATTCAAGTTTTTTTAATTCAAAATTTGAAAAACCATACAATTTTGTGATTTTTTTAATCCAAGTTCGTTGAAAATTTTTAAAATGACAAACACGCCATATCTCGGAAACTAAAAGAAAAGGAGCAGTCGCATTTGCACCCAAGATTTGCAACTTGTGAGAGTACTCACAGCACCCAACTACAGGGTTGGGAACTTCAAATTGAAACTCCCAAAAAAAAAGTGACATATCTCCAGAACTACAAAAACTTGAGCACTCATACTCGTACTCCTCGCGCGTGTTGAGGGTAGTTCTTTTTGAAATATAAAGATCTTCTAAGGTCAAAAGCTTGTTAGTGTCCAAATATGTATCCAGAAATCTATCTAGCAGATAGACGGTCTTTTTTTCCTTTCCTATATGGTAGCTTGCAATAATATTTTTGTGGTACGGGAAGTGATGCGAAGCTCCGGAACTGCTACGAAGAGTTTTTAAACCATAAGAGGGTTATAATTAACTATCTTAGAAGTTGCACAAGAAAAAAATATGAAAAAAACGTAAATATCTGTTTTTTTTGTTGACACGCTCGTGATTCTGATTCGAATGACTGTTCAGCGGATATTAATGGTTGAAGGTACCAAGGTTATCCCGATTAATTAAAGAATCTTCATGACATTTGCTTTTACAAATTCGAAGAATGTACGATATTCAGTTTGTGTACCAAATTGTAGCGTTGAGAAATGTTGTAGCAAGACTGGGATTTTTTGATTTGATTACTATTGTTGAAATGTTGCACGACTGGGTTTTGGGAAATTGTTTTGTAATATGTAGACCGTCGTGTAGATTCTTCTCTGATGCAAAAGTCCTGCTTTATGTGCATGTCCTTTGCGATACGTCGGAACGTCCTGCTTGATGGGCGGATATGTCGTGGTTGATGCGACGGTGGAAGGGTTGGGTGCTTCAAGAAGTCCTACTTGATAAAGAAGTTTTTTTTTTGGGGGGGGGGGTATAAAGAAGTTTTGTGGGGTGGGGGGGAAGCTGACTTGTTGTTAATCTCAATATTGATCGCGAAAGCTTAGACCTTCGACCTTAAACTGCCCTACGTGTCTTAAAGTCAAATTTAGCTTTGAACAAGTTGTAACAATCAAAACAATTTAGCTGTGAAGTTACCGTTCTTTTATCGTTCTTTTTCATTACATCTCATCATTGAAATTTCATGCCATGAAACTACTAAGCTTAAAATGACTGCTTTTCTTTGCACAATTTGTGTGAAAATGCTCTTTGAAACAATTATTTGTTTTATTTCAGACAGTTATGGTTCTGGGTTTTCTGAGAGCAATTCTGTATCGAACCATAAATGAGCCACAAAACATAGATAGGCTGTCTCGTACACCTGTCATTAGATACATCGCAAGAATGGGTGTTTATGTTGCACTAAAAGCGAAGACTTACGGTTTCAAATTTTTGGACAAAATCGAGAAGTCCCAGTTGCCACCTCCGAAAAAGAAATAAGAAAAACTATCAATTTTTTAATAGCGAAACTTAGAATTAGATGAGAATTAATTTTAAATAAATGAGTTATTGAATTTTAAGCAATCTCATGTTTTAAGGTTTCAATGAGTTTAAAGCAATCTTGAGTGAAGTTTTCAGAAATAAACCAGAATCTTTGATTTCTCAGAGATAGTGTGGTAAAAGTTTTTTGTCCATACTTTTATTGTAAGTATTTGTACATATTTGTCTAGAAATAATAAGTAATTGCTGTGGAATCTATTATGAGTAGTTTAGATCTCGTTTTCAGGGCAAATTTTCTTTCAGACACCTATGAGATAAAAAGTGATTTGTGCCATGATTTCAAGCCGAATTATTTTGCGGTCTGCTTCTACCAATAGGTTCACCACAGGACCAGGTCTAGAAGATTTCATAAAAGGGTCGTCAACGGACAGCGAGTGGAAGTCACCATTGTCAAGATCCACCTCTGCAGAAAGACTTCGAATTCCGTACTGGCTTAAAACGCAGATCCCTAATGGAAACAATTATAAAAAGATTAAGGAGTCATTGAAAAATTTGAACCTCGCAACTGTATGCCAAGAAGCAAAGTGTCCGAATATTGGCGAATGTTGGGGTGGAGGCGATAGTCATGTATCAACTGCGACTATTATGATTCTCGGAGACACATGCACGAGAGGGTGTCGGTTTTGTTCGGTGAAAACCGCAAAAGCGCCGCCGCCTCCAGATCCCCATGAGCCCGAAAACACAGCCTATGCGATTTCCAAATGGGGCGTCGACTACATAGTTTTGACATCAGTTGACAGAGATGACTTGGAAGACCAGGGTTCTGACCATATAGGGACAACGATTGAAAAGATCAAAGAGTTTTCGCCTAGAATGTTGGTCGAATGTCTAAGTCCGGATTTCAGAGGCGACTGGAAGTGCGTGGAAAGGGTTGTAAATAGTGGTTTGGATGTGTTCGCTCATAATATTGAGACTGTAAAGTCTCTACAGAAACGAGTGAGAGATCCAAGGTTTGTACAAAACAGATTTTTTGCTAGCTTTAGTTAATGCTAAATAATTGTTTTTTTTTCTCTCAACGAATCTGAATAAGTGTTTGAATGAAAGTTTGACTATTTTTTTAAACGAATTGCACCATTTCAGAACAACCTCGATTTCAGAATTTTTCTAACTCAATTTATCTCGCAATTTTTTGAAATGCATAATTTATACATAATGTGGCTTTGTGCTTTGCGATTTGTTATATGCAATGATAAGTATGTGTTGGTCTGTGACCAATTAAGCTTCTGAAGCAGAGCAGCTGCTCTTTAAGCTGTTAACTTCCGGGTGTTGTTCATATTGCCGAAAGGTGTTGTTGGAAAATTGCTTGTATTGGTGTGAGTCTGTGTGCGTATGTGTCTGTTGATTGTTGTAGAGTGTCTCGGATTAGTTCTTGTATCTTGGGGTTTGTCTGTGCAGCTCTTTTGAGGTAATTTGAGTTTAGTCTTGTTAGTTCTTCTTGAATCGTCTTCATCCTGGTGATTTTATGTACTTCGTCTGTTGGTGTTGTTACTGGTAGATGTAGGCTATTTTTAGTGCTCTGTTCTGTAAGCTTTGTAAGTGCCTTGTAGATGCGTTTGCCCACGAAGGTGATGCGTATGTGAATACTGGTAGAATTGTTGATTGGTACAAAAACTTTAAGACTTTGGATTTGATGCCTTTGGCTCGTAGTACTAGTAGAAAATTGATTTTCCTTGTCGATTTGTCTTCAATTTTTTGTAGATAGTCTTTCCATGTCAGGTTGTCATTTAATGTAATTCCCAGAAATTTAGTGGTTGTTGATGGTTCGATCTCTTCGTTCTGTAGCATTAATTTGCAGTCATTCTTCTTGTGTCTTGTAAAAAGTATAAAGTTCGTCTTCTCCGGGTTCACGTCTATCTTCCATTTCTGGCACCATGCTTCAAGTTTGTTTAGGCCACCTTGTAGTCTGTGTGTTGCATTCTTGCTTGTATTTGAACTTGTGTAAATTGCTATGTCGTCGGCATATTGTGATATTGTTGTTAGACATGCATCTGGTTTGCTTACATAGATGTTGAAAAGAATTGGACTGATTACACTTCCTTGTGGTACTCCTGCACTGGGTGTGAAACTGTCGGCTTTGGCTTGGTGGTATACTACTGTTAACTCTCGGTCTGTCAGAAAACTCTTGGTCCATTTTACAATCCACTTCGGACAGTTGATTTCTAGTAGTCTGTAGTATAAGCCTTCGTGCCAGACAGAGTCAAAAGCTCGTTGCACGTCCAGAAATGCTGCTGCAACGGGTTGCTTTCAGTGATTCTCATTATAGATTGTCTCTGTTAGACAGAGTAAATTGTCGGTGGTGCATCGTTCGCTTCGGTATGCACTTTGAAAGTGTCCGAAGATGTCGTGATCTTCGCAGTGTACTAGCAGCCGCTCTTTGACAAAACACTCGCAGATCTTCCCGATACAGCTTGTAAGTGAGAGTGGTCTATAGTTCATGGGATCTTTGTGGTCTTTCTCGGGTTTTGGTAACATTGATACTGTCGCTTGTTTCCAGCCTAGAGGAACGTAGCCACTTCTCAGCGATTGTACTATGATTTGTCTTAGTACTTCTAGTACGTTGTTGGGCAGGTTTTTCATCGCTTTGTAGCTAACTTTGTCTTGTCCTGGGGCAGTGTTCTTTCTGTGCTTGATCACGTCTTTGAGTTGCTTTAAGCTAATCTCTGTTTGTGCAAAACCTGTCTGTTCCAGTTGAAAATCTTGGATTTTCGCCTGGGACACCTTGTCATGTACTTCCTGTTCATGCGTTAGAGCTGCCTGAGAGTTTGTTATATTTGTCGTCATGTTTGCTTTGAGCATCTTAGCGAAGTGGTTCGCAGCGTCTTGATTTTTCATTTTCAGCTTACTGGTTCGTTCAAGTCTTGTGCCTGTGAGCTTTTTTACTGCTTTCCAGAAATTCTGTTGTGTTGGTCCTTTGTTCATTTCACTGAGTAGTTTGAGTTGGTCTTCTCCTTCTACTGTCTGTTTTAGCTGTCTGATGTCTTTCTTTGTTTTGTTTAGCTTTGTACACAGGTCTTTGTAGTCACTGGTGTCTTGTTGGTCATATCGTCTCATCTTTTGTTTTTGTCGTTCAAGTTTGTATTTGTTTCTGACTAGTTCGACTAGTTGTGGGTTCGTGAATTGGTGCTTGTGTTCTTTTAGGCTGCCTTGGTAGCACTTGTCAATGTGTTTGGCTATCTGGTCAGCTTCTCGAGCTAGACCTTCGTCAGTTTTGATTGAGTCAGGGTTGAACTTGTAGTTCGTTACTGTGCCTCTGAATTTTCGCCAGTTTGGTTTTGTGCATGTTCTCTTTGGAACAGTTAGTTCGTACTCTGCAATTGTCATGTAGTGATCGCTTGGTGTTGTGTCTGACACTTCAAAGTTCGTGCATAGGCAAGCCATTTTTGGTGATGCAAAGTGTAAGTCTAGGTCTGAGTTACTTTGGTGTGTTGGTTCGGAACCGTTCAAGATGAAGTAGTTGTGCATGAGAGCGTCTACAACTCTTCCGTTGCTGTTGGTTGCTCTTGCTTTTGGGTCGACAGATTTGATCTGTGCGTTGAAGTCTCCAACGATGATGTGTTTTGGATCTTTTCCATTGAAAGTCACGTTCTCTATCTCTGCGTTTGGGCTAAGGTAAACACTTGTTACAGTGATACCCATTGTGTTGATCTTGATCGTCTCGCATACTTTTCTGCATTCTCTGTGGTTTTGGTTTATGTGTTGTGCTTGTTCCGGTACTTGGTACTGTATGTTGTCTCTGATGTAAATTGCCGAGCCTGTGACACTGTCACAGATTGCTGCTGCAAGGTTAAAGTTTTGTAGTTTTGGTGGATATTTGGTTTTTGTTTCGTTGAAGCAGAGTATAGTGATGTTGTGTTTCGCTAGAAGATCTTGGATCTCCAGTTTGTGCTTGTTTATACTTCTGCAGTTGAGTTGTGCTATCTTGAGTCTATTCATTTTGGTTTATTGTTGTTGTTTTGATTTCGGGAGTTACTATGTCTGCTGCTGCTTGCTTCTCTGTGTGTTTTTGTATTTTGTTTTGCTTTGATATTTGATGTTAACAGTTCAGTGAAATCTATTTTCTCGAATTGTGTTTTAACTGCATTGCTGACTGTTTCGTTAATTTTCTCACATGATTTAGCGACGGCTTTGGTGATTGCATCGGTTATCTTTTCGTCCATGGCTTTCTGCACTGCTTTTTCGACTTGATCGGCTATTGTAGTTTCAACAGTTTCTTTAATGAACTGCTGTTTGTCCTCTTTGCTCATGGTTGGTTGTGTTTCGGTTGTGGTTGGTTGTGGTTTGACTACGGTTGTGGTTGGTTGTGGTTTGACTACTTGAGCGTAGCTTTGCACTTTTGGTTGTGCTTTTTGGGCTTCGACTTGAGCTGTCTTGTAAACCGGGCAGCCTTTGTACTGCGCCGGGTGTTCGCCTATGCAGTTGATGCATTTAACTTGCTGCTTTGGAATTTTACAGTCTCTGACTGCGTGGTTGTCGCCACATCTGAGGCATCGTTGCTGGTTGGTACAGTTAATGGCCATGTGGCCGAAATTTTGGCATTTGTAACACTGTTACTCGTGGTTCTGTTTTGGATGCTTCGCATCGTTTCAGTTCGTTGCAGATGTAGACCCCATTGTCGATTGCCTTTCTGCAGGCGAGGTCATCATCTGTGAAAACTCTGATGAGTTGTGTTGGCTTGTCTAGGCTTCTGCTTTGGATTCGGAAGAGCTTTGCTACCTTGATGTTGTTGATCTCCTCAAGTTCAGATTGGATGTCAGCTTCGCTGAGTTGTTCACTGACTCTTGAGATAACAAAGCTGGAAGTTTGTTTCTTCTTGGGTTGGTTTGTCTTGTGTTGTCTGCCTCCGATTTTTACTTCTGTGTCGGGAAACAGGACGTCGAGGTTGGCTTGGGTGATAATTTGGGCAATTTGAGGCGATTCAGGCTTGATTGAATAGCCTAGGCCAGTCTTGAGGTCCCTGGTTTGACCAGGATATTGTACTTTAGTCAGGTTACGTATTGATTTGGTGAAAGTCATTCGGCTTAGAATTTTGTCTTTTGCAAAGCTTATGTAGATAATGTTCGTGATATTTAGTCTTTTGTTGCTTTGAGCTTGTGATTCTTCCGCTTTGCGCTTTCGATTAGTTGCTTGACTTTGCTCCATTGCTTTGCGATTTTTTATATGCAAAAGTAGTGCGGATGCCTTCGGTTTGTTATATTCCAAATTATTACTTGCAAAATTGTGTCAATTTCTATTTGGTGCCACTATTGCTGAACAGCATTGGCATTGTATTATCATATGTAGCTGCTTCATTCGTGACTAGTGTTTTTTGGTGATTAAGCTTGCCTGGCTGAGTGGCTAGAGGCGTGAGACTCAAAATCTCTTGATTGCAGTAGGTCGCAGATCGAATCCTTGACATAGCCGAATTTTTTCTAATTTGAGGCTTATTTATATTTTTATTGCACTTTCTAGAGCTGCTTTTTGTCGTGTCCTCGCCAGTGTTTGCGAAGCGAAGCTTTGCCTGTGTTTGAGTTCAGGAGCACACTCATAAATTATTTGCTGTCTATATTTCATTTTCCCTTGTTGCGTGTTTACGCTTGCGATTATCAAGCATTATCAAACTGGAATAAAGACTTTTTTCTGGTTAACAACTAGTTTAACAAAATCAATTGAAGCACTTGCTGACTATGCTGCTGACTGACATGCTCAGTTTCTTGAAAATTCCAAATTAACACAACGGATTTGACATGTGCTGTAGATAATTTTCATTGTAGTTGCAAATGGAAGTGTTGTTCATTCTAATTTCAGGAGTGACTTGAAAGATTCAATTTTTTTTTTCATAAAATCTTTTTTTTTGGCTCAATTGGTTTCAGCTCAAAGGTTGTTGGCTTAATTGTCACATCACTTATTTATCCTGTGCTGTAAACAACTTTCATTGTAACTGCAAGTGCAAGTGTTTTCCATTGTTGTTTAAGATGGGACTTAAAACTTTTTTTTATAAAATCATTTTTTTGTCTGGTCAAAGATTGTCGGCTTTGTTTCGTTTCGTAAATTTTGTTCCGTTGCTGCTGATTTAAAATTCAAGTGTTTTGCATTTTTGCCTGGAATGAACTCGTATCGAGACAAATGAAAGCTTATATGAACTACTTTTTGAAATTTTTTTTTCGGTTTTCGGTTTTTTTTTTTTTAATGTTGAGTTGTATCGGAAGAGTTGTATCGCCTCTGTGTTTAATTTCATTTTTCAAGGGTCCTGTTTGTTTGAAAAACAGTTCAACAAAAACATCGTTTTGCTACGGTTCAAAAAAGCTGCAGTGAACGAAAGTTCTTCAAGTGAGTTTTTTGAATGTTTAATTGGCCTATTTTTTTAGAGCCAACTACGATCAATCTATGGGTGTTTTAAAAGAAGCAAAGAGGGTCTCAAATAATCCTAATTTGCTGACAAAAACATCGATCATGCTTGGCTTGGGCGAGGCAGACGAGGAAGTTTTTCAAACCATGCTAGACTTGAGGTCAAATGGTGTTGATTGCTTGACCTTGGGTCAATACATGCAGCCTACTAAGAGGCATTTGAGAGTCGAGGAGTTTGTGACTCCTGCTAAATTTGATTATTGGAAAGAAGTTGGAGACAGTCTGGGCTTTGTGTACACAGTCTCTGGACCTCTAGTCAGATCATCTTACAGAGCTGGAGAGTTCTACCTGAAAAATATTATAAAGAATAAACGAACTGAAAAACAACAGTTCTCAACCTGATGTGAGTTAGAAATTTGGAGTAGAATTTTTAGATTGGTCCATTAAATATACAATTGTATTTTTGTACAGCAATTTTACTCAGGGAAGTGTTGGAGATATTAATTGTTCTGCCACTTTTCAGACAAGAAAATGTCCAGGCTTAAAAACCGTAAAGTCAATTTTTTTCGCAACATCGAATGATTTGTTTTCAGGTGGTAATGTGAAGCTGTGTTCTGAATTTAGAGTATATTCAAGTATGAATGCATCTAGCAATGTAGTGCTAACCAATTTGAATGCGAGCACCTGTGTTAGAAGACCTCAGGATCTCGACTCATGCCCGGGTGTCCGGAAATTATTGACCAGAAGGCCCGATGAAAGAGTGGGTCCAATGCCAGCCTATTTGAAGGAACAGTTTCTGGAGGGCCAGAAGAACGCATGTCAAATACTGCAAGAGTACTGTCAGATTAGACGTCTCACGCTTAGTTATGAGGCAAGTCGTTTCAGGATCATCATTGAAAAAACACAGTGCGATTCGTGAGGTGCGTTCATTAAATCGCGGAATTGAATCCTAGAAAAGACTAAGAGGAAATAGGCCAATTATTTGCCGAACCTAACTCGCATATAAAAGTATCCATTAAAAGTGTTCACTGATCTGGAAGTTTCATTGTATCATTGGAAATTGCATAGCATCTGTTTTCTGCTTTATTTGTCGTAGGTTCGAATCTCAGACGTAGACGATTTTTTACTAATTCGAGGACTATTTATAATTTTTCTCATTGCACTTTATAGAGCTGCTTTTTGTCGTGTTCTTGCTAGTGTTTGTGAAGCAAAGCTTAGCCTCTGTGTTGAAAACTTGACTCTTTTACCTTTCCCCTCACCTGCAAAATTTTATTAGTTAAATTTTGTTCGTTATCCGAATGGTTCGAAAATTGTAACTAATTAGTCCATGACAAACATATTTGGTCTTCATGTTGAATGTTGTAAAACACCTCGTTATACCATAATATTGAGGTGGGGGGGGGGGGGAAAGGAAAAAGAGCCAAAAACGTGGCCTTTAGTTGCATGTTTTGTCTTAAATATTGTATCGATTTTTTTAGTGTCGGACAGTCACGTTTAGGAAATTTCCAAAACTGCTTGCTATGAAACAATATAGTTCATTTTCAATATAAGAAAACATATAGGTTAAGTTAGGTTGGATATAGGCCGATGATATCGAGTTGTTTGGCTTAGCATTCATTTGAACTTCAGTTGTCATTACCCCTTTGACACTGTATTCGTGGTCCTCCAGTTTTGAATACTAGCTGGCGCGATAATTTCAAATTGACAAAAACGTTTTATGACGAAAGCACTTGATAAAGTCATTTTCAAAATTTTGCTCTCAGTAGTGTTTCCTCGACTTGACTAAAATTAGTTCTCCTATATTTCAGGAAGTGAACCCACCTGACATTCCTGGCATTGAAGTATGTTGGTGGATGCGTGTAGTAATCAATCAAGTTACGTTTCCGAGGGCAGCCGGCAAGAACAAAAAGATAGCGAAACAAGAAGCCGCCGAGAGTGCGCTGATGCGTTTGTTCGACATCGAGCCTGTGCTGAGTACGCTGATGAATGAAAGTGCAATGGGTTCTGTAGTGGAGACAAGAGAGGGCCATGATGAGTCCATGAATTTTCTGGAGGAACTGAAGAGCATTGTTCCTGTAGCGAGAGTGGAAGATAAAGTAAGCAATGCAAATGGCTGGTAAAAAAAGAATTGGGCCTTTTTCAGGACGGTTTGCTCATTCTTATGTTTTGATTGTATAGTCCATTTTCGAGAAATACTTCATTAAAGTCTTAAAAAGCATTATTTTAGGGTTAATGCGGAGCTTGGAATTGATGGAAGGCTGCTTTCTTGCTGAAAATGTTATCTTGTCTGAAATAATCGTGGAAAACGGTCATTGTTTTCAGTTAATTAAGGGTACAATTTCGACAAATAAATGAGCCGATGTAAATCAGGTATCTACGTAGAGATAAATCAAGAAATTAAAAAAATAATGGGCTGTTATGTTTGAGGTTCAAAAGTTCTTGGACAGTAATGATTTTTCTGCGAACAGAACGAAACTGATGGGATCGACGCTTGTGAAGGCACCTGTCAAGGCATTAGTTACAGGTGCGTTCTGTTTGATATAGCGATATACAGAGGCGGTCTATTCAGTAGAAAGATTGGTCCATGAGGCGACAAATCGTAAGTAGATTAATTGGGGAAACTGATTTACGCGCAGTGTTCCTCTCGTGTCGGATGCAAGTGAAGCAGAGCAATCTTTTTCTACCTACCAATGCTCTGTTACGAGTTATCGCTTGGGACGAAATGTCGGTTGTTACGAATTGTCGCCCTGCCAGATCGATCTAGGAATTGGCTGCAGTGCACGGGTCGACGCCATTTAGTTTGAAAAATGAAAACGAAACAAACCTGAATTCCTATCAAATCAGAATTAAATCATCTCAAATTTTTTAATAATTTAAAGAATTTTGTTTTACTCTGTCAACTTGAAATTTTCAGTCTGCTACTTTTTCTGATTAAATTTTTGTATTCATTAAGTTAAACGTAGTTTCAATATGTTAAAGTTGTGACGAAATAACTTTTTATCTCTTGGGTTTTTTCATTTTGTTTCGCCTGCAGATAATATTGATGTTTCCGGACTCATTCATTTTTTATGACTTTCTTTTTATGAATTGCAATGACTTTTTTGTCTTTTTTTTGCAGTTTTACTCAAAATGCATTTTTTTTGGTTCAGGTTTTGTTCAGCTTGTTTGTTCAACTTTCTCTTTCTTTAAACTTATTTTTGTCTGACCGGAGTGTTTTTAGGAATTAACATCGGCTTTTGTTTTTGATTTCAGAAATTCAAAATAGTTTGTTTGTTCTTAGCAGCGTCTCTTCTTGTTTCTACATCTTAATTTGATTCGAGTTTTTTTTGAGCGATTTTTTCTTTAAGCAAGAATAATAATTGCTAGATATTGAATAGTTTGTATATGTTTTTCAATATTTTACTGTTTCTAGTAACGTTTTAATTATTTCTAGGTGAGGTGTGGTGTTTTTATCTGAATTGTTCTGATTGTTGCAAAATGACGTAAAATTGTTTGGTAAAAGTATGTTTCAAGGCTGAAAGGAGATAACGCGTAGTGGTCAGCTCCCCTGCATTAGCAGCTACACCTTCTTTAAGCTAAAAATTTATCATCCTCTGAAAAGTCGATTGTTTGTTTTTTGACCGTTTTTTAAATTTTTTGAAAACTACTCCACTGTATCGAGTTTTTGGGTTCGATCCAAAGAACGGGTTCTTGAAAGTTCCTTTTTTTGATTTTTGGACTGTTTTTCGATTTTCAAATTTTTTTATTGAGAACCACCGAGCCAAATCTCGGGTTACGCGTTAAATCGAGAAAGCCGGTTTTAGGACTGTTCTCTACTTAAGCGGCCACGGCTTGCTTTTTGCAAGAAAGTTATGGATTTCCTAATTTGGATTTTTAGACCGTTTTTCGTTTTTGTTTTAGATTTTATCGAGAACCACCGTGCCAAATTTCAGGCTATGCGTTCAATCGGGAAAGCCGGTTTTGGGGCTCTTCTCTACTTAAGCGGCCTCGACCTGCTTTTGGCAAAAAAGTTATAGATTTCGGAAATTCATGTTTTTTTGAAGTTAAACCGTTTTTAAGAAACTTTTAAAAACCATCCTTTCAAATCTGAGTTGAGTAGTTCAATCTAAAAAAACGGTTGTGGAAATTTTTCCTGCAGAAGCGGCGACTCTTTAACTTTTCGTAAGGAATAGTTGCAAATACATAAGATCGATTTGGTTTGTTCGCGAAAGTCTTTTCTGATTTCTTTGCGTTTTAGTTGTTTGAGCTCATCAGCATTTTTTCAATTCATCATTTATCGCAAAAATTTCTCTTAAAATTGTTCAAAATAAATGTCTTTGTTGAAAACATGCTTGATGTCTGCCCTGGAACCAGCCTGCTCCCATTTTAGCGCACATGAAAAAAAATTGTTTGAAATACGGTGCTGATTTAAACTCTGGACAATTCAAATTTAAGTGGAGCTCGTTTTCATCAAAGTTGATTTTTGTTGGACAATGTGATGATGACAAAAACTTCCAAATTTTTTTTCGTGCAATTCGTTTTTCCAAATTTCGGGATTAATTGGCTGATTTTTGGTTCTAGCTGTTTGATTAATACGTGGTATGAACTACTGGATGACTTGGCGAACAAAATTATATGAACATCATAGCTTTATCAAGCCCAGTAAAATTAATTAAAGTGCAACGATGTCCTACGTAGCCGCAGAAAGCTTTTTACCGTGCAATGCAATGTCCTAAAATTTGTGCAAATGGTCAACATATGCCCTTATTATTGAATAAAATGGCCCTATACCGACAAGTTTCCGATTATAACCTTTCCAAAGACATTTTTTCAAGAGTCTTTGAGCTTATTTCAGTCAGTCTTTTGTATAGGTCATGGTGATATATTTTTTTTCAGGAAGGGTCTTGAAACTGGTTCAGGCTCAGTTAATTTTTTCGCGTTTTGATTTCTGATTTCTTTTTTATTTGAGCTCTTTTTTTCACGAGGACCGTAAACTCGACTGTAGAACAGCAAAAGATCTAAGGCCACAAAAACGTGATCGATATCTAAGTTTGAAAATGAAATTCAATCATCAGGTTTCCCACGAAATAAAATTTTAATTAATGATCTAGTTTTCTCAAATTGGTTTAGTTTATCAAAAAAGAATCAATCAGAAATTCCAAGAGCTTTAAGATCATATTTTTTTCTGGGAAGGTCGAAAGTTTTTGTTTTTTTTTCTGTTTACTTGCGTTCATTGGCGCTGTCTGTTAGCTATGTTTTGCTGAAGAAAGCTAGGCGTTTACGCATATTTAGAAACTGCCCAGTAGTTTTCGCCTAATTTATAATTTTCAATAGAAAAGGTCGACCCAAAATACCCATTTTCAATGTACAGTTGTTTTTGAAGTGAATTTGCAAAAACTAGCTCTAATTGAATTTTTACCGAGTTCTGAGCGTCTTTTTTATTTATATATTTTTATTTCATTGCGAGCGCAAGCGATTTGTAATCGGGAACTAGACTTTTCCCCGTAGCATCTTTAGGTACACTTAAATTTAATAAAGTGGTAAAGGGCGTGCTTTTTCATCATAAGGAATGGAGTTCGAATTCCGGACTGACCATGTTTTTTTTCTATATGCTTGATGCAATTGATGTTTTTCTTGCTGAGAAAACGAACTGTTTGCATATCGTTTGTCTTCTTTTTTTATTGACTTAGTTTTCAATTCATGGGATTTTCTTCTGTTGTAAAGAATTTTACTTGAATTGGATTTGTTTTCTTTTTTTAAATGAGCGAACTCTGATTTTGAAAATGTTCCTTTTCAATTTTTTTGGTTGAACGATTCCGGCCAAAGTGTCAATGGATTGGTCGTCTCATAACGCGCAACCTGAAGAGTCTTTTATGCTTTTGTACATTTCAGGAGGGCGGGTTGTAAAAACTTCGAGTTTTCAAATTTAGGAGATCAAAATTTTCCATGGCTACGATAATTTTTATGGTAAGTAATATTATGATTATAAGTGAAAGGATCAGCTTAATTTCTGAACTCTCCAAACTTATATTAACATGTTATTTTTCATTCGCAGTATGGATGCTGCTTTCATGTGTTTCAGGAAGCAACTGGGACGACTCAGATGACGAGGAAAAATCAGCTGTTAAAAGTTGCAAAGGCGACGCTTCATCTGTAATTTCACCGTCTCCCATTTACCAAGCAGACGGAATCGTTATGCAGAAAACCTCTTCGATAAATGTTATGTTCGAGAGAAATTTAGATTATCAGAACCTTCCATTTTCAGCTTTGATTCTGGTGATGTTTCAAACGATATTAATGAATATTTTGGAAAAGATAAAAACTGAGTCTGTCGTGAATCAGTTGTCTGGTGATTACGCTGCAATTATGGTCCAAAAAGAGCCACGAGACATAGACGTAGTGGCCATTGGAAGTGGCCGTGGTCACCTAGACTCGAATGAATGGCCTCCTATCTACCTTGGAACAGTTTTACATGATTGTCACTCAATTGTAATTGCTCGTCGCTCTTTTCTCAGGTATCTGTACATTGAGCTTACGAAACATTTGGAAGGTATAGAGCCCCAGGATTCGATCTTCAAACCAAAGCCAGATGAAAATGGCAGATGGTCGCTCAAAGATTCAGTGACATTTCACGCGATGATGTCACGGGCTCCTTGTGGAGCCGCAGCTTCCGAGCAATCAAGCGCTGCTGAAATTAAAGAAGAATCATTAATATCTCACAGTTCTTCTCCAGATAGAAAACTTTCGAGATCCGAAAGACTACGAATACTATTGGAAAAAGGGAATGGAAAAAGGAGTCAAAAAGCACCGAGCGTTTTTGAAGGTAGAGAAGTAGCCGGGTGTTTTAATGTAATGATTTGTTTTTGGTATTAAGTGTAATTAACGTAATGAGTGAGTACTTTTTCTAAGTCTTGGTGATTTTTGTAGTCTTGTTTTGCTCACGCTCAATTTTGATTTTTTGCGGTTTGACTTTTGAATTCCTCTTAAGTCACTCCATGTGCTTTGTTAGAAGGAAGGCAAACTCCTCTATCTGACAGCAAAAATGTAAATGTCACGAAAAGCCTGAACGACTTCTCATTTCGAAAATGGAGTTTAATCATCCGATTTCCCAGCGAAGTAAAAACTTTACCTATTAATCCAGTTTTCTTAAATTGGGTTAATTGGCTCTTTTTCCTTCTCCCGCCTGTGGAATTTCCTAAGTAATTTTTTGTTCACATTTTTTTATTGATTTTATTGGTACAAAATTATGTGTGCGGACTTTTTAGGCCATGGCAAACATATTTGGTCTTCATATTTAACTTTGTTAAACCAACCGTTAGGCCAGAAAATGGATGTTTTCTTTCTATTTCCTTGCGTTCATTAGTCTTTTCAACTGCCAGTTGGTTATGTTTTACACTTGCAAACAGAAGAGGTGTAGGATTTTCTCGATGGGAGGTGCATATTTTCAAAACTGGCGACAATTTTGGAAGAAGTCAAAACCGTTTTTGAATTTTTTTTGACAGAAATAGCGTGATCTGGCTCTGCTTACAAACGCTTGTGTTATTGCGCTTGCGATTAGCAAGCGTTATGTAATCGGCGTATTGTCTTTTTTACAGGCAAACAATTTTCTAAAAGAATCACCGAATCTTTGCTCAAACTGTATTTTTTGTCAGCAACTGACATATTATGAGTATGTCAGTTTTTTAAATACCCGTTCTATTTAAAATTTATTTCTATATGCTTGCGAATCTTTTTTTATTTTTCAAGTCTTTTTTACTTATTTTTGTTTGCCCTTTAACGCATTCTTTTGCAAAATAAGGTATCACAAACAATCATCGAAATAGGTCGAGTGATATATCATTTCAAATCACTTTCAATCATGATTCGAACGAAATTAAATAAATTTTTCTCAATTTTCTCAAAATAAAAATCGTCGAGGAACACTAGTTCAAAGTTTTTGATTTTTGGTGCAATTTTGAGCGTATAAGGTGAGTGAGTAGTCTTACTTTGTTTTCAACTAAAATTTTTACCACAACTAATTATCGAAATAAAGTTAATTATATTGCAAATTAAAGCCCTTTCAATCCTGATTTGAACGACCTTAAAATATTTCAGAAAGTTGTCCCAATGTCGAGAAAAACTGATTTCAAATTTTTAAAATTTTATTTCACTTCCGAGCGAGCAAGTGCATTATAGATGGTTAAGTCGGAAACTTGAGAACAAAAAACTTCAATAAATTGACAATTAAAAATGGGGAGGAATTCTGTTCTCCACGCAAATTCAGGTACCGCAAACAATCATCGGAATGGGTCGAGTGATATATCATTTTAACGCCCTTTCATTCGTGATTCAAATGGCATTAAAATTAAAAAAAATTCTCCCAGTGACGAGAAAGACTGGTTTGATTTTTTGAAAGGTGAACCTTAACTCTATGAAAATTTGATTGAAGACCTGTAATTAGAAATAATAAAAAAACGTTTATTTTGTTTTTTATTCGTTTTTCAAAATCATCCAATTTGCGAATATGTTTAAGTGTTAGGCCTTCGTTCAGTTTTTTTCATCACATTACTGCATAAAAACGACTAATTTGAAATAAAAACGTAATTTTCGAAGTTTTTTCAGTCTACGGTCGGAACATTTTGTGCTACTTGCACAGCAATCGGCTATCCTTTTAAAAAATTCTTGAGCAGCCTTGGTTAAATGGGTAGGACGCTTGGCTTTTAACACTAAATTCGTGAGTTCGAATCCGACTTTGGTTTTGGCTGGAGGATTTTTTTCACCGGTTTTTCTAGCTCTGTGTTTCGTACTAGCCCTGCTTTTCACTAAAAACAGGTCTAGTACGTTATAATTAATTTTTGTAGCAGATATAAGCCGTATGGATCGAACGGTTCCTAGCTGCTAACTCCTTAAATCCTGTAGAAAAAATTAATGGCATTAAATAAAATTCAGGACATCTGGAGAGCTACAAGTTAAAGCGCAGTTGTAAAATAGTTCAACGACAGACCCTTCCTGTTATGCAGTCTTCGTTGAAAAAGCTGCTTCTTTGCCTCTGGAAAGGTTTATTCCACTGTTACCCAGCCTTTTCGATTCGATTAGTAAATTACGGTGAGTAACGATATTACTTTACGGAAGGGTTCATCGGTACTTTCCGGAAGGCTTCATTTCCTCTCGCTATATGAGTTGTTCATTCGATGATTAAGAGTAATGAATGTAGTGAGGAGCGTAGTTTTTTTTCAGGAAAAAGTCTTGAAATTTGTTCACGCTCAGTTTTGATTTTTCGCGGTTTGACTTGTGATTTCGTTTTAAGGTCAGTGCATTTCCATTGGAAGGCAAACTCACTATCGGACGGCAAAAGTATTAAGGTCACAAAGACATGGTCGACTTTTGATTTTGAAAATGGAAATAAATTATCAGATTTCCCAGCAAAATAAAAGTTTTACGCATTGATCCAGTTTTATCAGTTTGGGTTAATTTAATAAAAAAGTGTCCATCAAAGAACTTTAAGGCCATCTATTGTTTTTCTTCGAAATTCAAAAATTGAAGACCTTTGAAAACAACAAGTCATTTATTTTTCAGTTTCCGTGCCTTCAGAACTCTTATACAACTGTTAGTTGGCTATGTTTTTATTATATCTCTTTTCGTTTTCTTGTTTTGTATTTACGAGAAGTATCGTTTTTCTGCCTTTTTCGCGGTTTTTTTAAATATCGCGAAATAACCATTTGTTTACGTGTCTTCTTTTTGAAGAGAATTTTTAAAAGTCGACTTTTTGGTTCTGTTTGTTTAATTCGTCCATTAACGCTCTTAATTTGCAATTATGGACGTACCGTACTTACATTTTGAGAAAAAAACGTCAATCATTTTGCACATTATATTTAATATTGGCACAAATGTGTTTGGTGGTGGCTCGGCGAGCGACATGACTTTCTTATTGTTTCAGAAGATATAACCTTCAAGAGCGGTGACAGCAAAACTAATCTCAAATCTCTATCGTGTTCTGACAAGATCCTCCGTTGGAACTACCTGGGGTGGGAGGGATCACTGTTGGGATGTTTGATAAACCCAATTTTTATGTCCAGTATAAATTTTGAGGAAGAATTTGTATCTGAAGAGAATTTGAAGCGCTCTCTAGTAAAGAGAAGTTTTCAGAGCATAACTTCCGAAATTGTTCAATATATTCCGATGCAGTTCAGAAATGCGCCTGTTTTACAGGTTGGTAACATAAGAGCTAAAATTGAATGTTCATAAATCATTGTCCCTAACTGATCATCAATATTTGGCAGAGACTGATTTTCAGTGCGTTATGTTTTGAAGAGTCACGAACGTAGTGAATACTCTTATATAGGTCTTGGTGATTTTTTTCAGTAGTCTTGATTATTTTCACGCTCAAATTAGATTTTCGCGGTTTGATTTTCAATGAATTTTCGAGTTCAGCTCATTTTTTTTGTTGAAATGAAGGCAAACGCCACTATCGATCAGCAAAGTTGTAAAGGTCACGAATAACGTGATCGACTTGTAGATTTGAAAGTAGATTTAAATTTCAGATTTCCCAGCGGAATAAAAGTTTTTTTATTGATCCAATTTTCTCAAATAGAATTTATGTTATCAATAAAGAATCAATCAAAAGTTGTTTTTGAAATTCAAAGTGCTTTAAGGCCATTATTTTTTCGAAATTCAAAAGTTGAACTGTTTAATAAAAACAATTCTGTATTTTTTTCTTTTTCCTTGCATTTATGACTCTTTCAACTGTCTGTTCGCTATGTTTTTTCAAAGAAAGCGCCTTGTATAGGAATAATTACTCAATAGATACTTTTACATCCACAATTTAAATTTCCAAAAAGACACTTTGCATGATTTGATGGCATCAGTTCCGAACCCAAAACAAAAAGTTAGTGTCATCTATCCTCTTTAATTTTGCTGAGATTATTTTGAGGTCCATTATTTTTGAGATAATGAAATGCTGTGATAAAAAGTTTCGGATAATTTTTTTTGATTTCAGCTGAATAGAATTAATTCTGAAGATAGCATATTGAACGCGGCGGACCCGAATGTGTGGAGGAGAAATGACTCAACGGCCGCTCTCTCGCTTAATTGGTGCTTCCATGACCATCTTCCAGAACTAATAGAACCCCTTAGAGGCCAAGTATCTCATTTATCGCCCTTTAAACTACCGGCATTCAAAGGTCAATCTAGACTATGCAAGAAGGCGTTTTTGAGCAGATTCACGAAACACACTCAGTTATTGCAGAGTAGCAAAGTTCCGGACAGTTACAGAGGTGCAAAGAAGATTGCGTTGGCTGCTTTTGGACATTATGCAATTGCTAGGAAGGGTTTTATCGCCAGTTTTGAACCATCACAAGGTGTAATATTGCAGCAGACACAAGAAAAGAAACTCTTTGTTAATTTCTAGATTATTTAGCGAATTGTAAACTATTGTAAAGAGCTATTTTTTTTATTTTCTCCTTCATTTGTGGTTGATGAAATTTTCTCTCATAATACTTGTCAAAAATATCTCATATTCAGAATTATTATTTCAATAGGGAGTGAAATCTGCAATCAAATTTGTTTTAGATTGTTAAATGTTAACTTTGTAAAATGAATGAACCTGCCAAAGTAGACGAAACATTTTCAAATGGCACCGAAAAATTTGGAGGTGACGTAAAAAAAGACGACCAGAAAGAAAATGTAGCCAGTGATAAAATCTGCGAAACGCCGGGTTGTGGAAAACCTGCTCCTCTGCAGTGTCCGAAATGTCGAGAAATGAAAATAGAAACATCTAATTTTTGCTCCCAGACTTGTTTTAAGTCATACTACGCAATTCATAAGCAGTTGCATGTGAAACCTCTGGGAACTAGTGCTTCCAATGCGCACAGTAACAGTGCAGATGTGCTGATGAATTACCCAACGTTTAAGCAGACAGGTACTTTGCTGCCGTACAAACAGACCCCAATGAGGGGTGTACCCAGGAGTATAGAGAGACCTGACTACGCGGACGACCCTAGAGGAACTCCACATTCGGAACTGACTTCGAAACGGAGTGGTCAGATTCTGATTTTAAACGAGGAGGAAATTGCAGGTACGCATTACCTAATAAATATGGCCTTTGGGGAGGTTTATAATCATACTATATTATATGTATAGTAAATGCATTTTGAAGCAATTTCACGCTGCTCTATTTAGAGGCGATAAACATTGTGAAGACTTATAGAGGTCATGATGATTTTGGACCAAGTGAACAATTTCCCCCTAAATCAATTTAGGAAGGAGATTGGTTTCCAATCAATCAGATTTGACTACCTGCAAAAGCCTTACGGTTTAAGTTTGTCATTTAATTTTGGGAAAGAAAATGTTCAATTTGTCCATTATAGGGGGGAGATAGAGGCCCCCTGCTGATAATACTGAGTAAACCCCGTTCTAGGGGCAGTTTTTGGTACGGAGAACCGAGCAAAATTCCCGTGTCCGGTTTCAGCGGGCAGTTTTTAATCATTGCGGAGAACCAAAAAAAACTCCTAATGTGCCCAGTTATATTGGCAAGTTGAGCCATTTTGCGGCTGAAAGGGGGTTGTCTTTTCTCCTTGGGCTATTTCCTTTCTAAATCAATTTAGTTGCCAGAATGTTCAATTGGCTTAAAAAATACTATTCAGCCGATCAGATTTGAGCATAGTATATGAAGTCCTTACTGCTTGAATTCGCCATTTAATTTTAGGGGGAATAATGTTGACTTGGTCTATTTAGGGGGGATTGGGAATTGTACACATGGGCCATGATTTTTTCAAGAAGAGTTTTAAAATTTAATCATTCTCAAATCAGATTTTTTGCTGTTTGACTTTTTTCAAGTTCAGTTCATTTCCTTTGTTAAAAGGAAGGCAAACTCCACTATCGATCATCAAAAATGTAAAGGTCGCGAGAAACGGGAGCGTCTTCTGCAGTGCTGATTTAAATTATCTGGTCAAAACAACCAGAAGTTGAAACGCGTTTTCTCAAATTGGGTAGAGATAAGACAAAAAATAAATTATGAGAACCAAAGTTGCCTAGAGTTTTACCAGAATTATTATGATGCAAATTATTTTGCGAATTTTAGGACTAAAATTTTACCCCAAAACTGGGTCGTTTTGGCTTATTTAGTCAATCAAAAACTACGCTGAATCCAATCAGTCAATTGATGAGCAAACTTTCTCAAAGTGAGCCTCTTGTACAGCCCAACCAAGTTTCGGAAGAGATCACTTTTAAAAGTCTTCATAAATGATTATATTTTTGTATCACCCAAAAAATGTCATTTTTACTATATAAAATTCCAATTCTTTGCTTGAAAACAAACTTTTAACGTTTTGCGCAAATTCTTCTAAAACTTTGTTGGACTGTATAAGATGCTTACTTTGATATAGCTTGCTCATCAATTGAGGAAGCTCATCATTTGAGGAAAATGCGTTTCTAGTTTTATTCATTTTGTCCGTATAATTTAAATCAGCACTAGTTTCGAAAGTGAATTTACAATTTCAGGTTTCCCAATTGACTAAAAAGTTACTCAAATGGGATTGGTTTTATCAAACAAGTGTCAGTCATAAATTTTTGTAGAAATTTGAAAAGCTTAAAGGCCAAATACTTTTTTCTTCGAAACTCGAAAGTTTTGAAAGAATATTTGAAAAACAAGTCAACATATTTTTTTTGTTAACTTTCGTTCATTTAATCTTTTTCAACTCTGCTGGTTATGTTTATCGTTATACGTCGTGTCACAGTAACTAATTGATATCCACTGATGGCCAATTATTGATGTTTCCAAATTTTTAAAGAAGAGGCCCAATATTCGTTTAGTGTGACATCTAAATTCGGCAAGCATATTGGCATATTTGACACTAGTTTACCGCACCTTTTTGCGGCCGACCGATTCATAAATTTTTCCAAAGACGGCTTTGACGCCAATTTGTACTTGTTCTGAGGGTGGAGTGTGTTGAAATAAAACGACACTTTTTTGGTCAGCTCCTTCAAAACTGGACGAACAAGGGCAGAAAATTTCTACATAGTAGGGTCATTGCAGTGTTTTAATAAAATTCGGAAAATTATTTTGGTTAAAAAAATGTTGATAAACGAAGTGAAGTTCTTTAGTTATTTAAGTCGTGTTTTTTTTCAGGAAAGAGTCTTAAATTTTCTTCGTACTCATTTTTGTTTGTACTTGTGATACATCTGGTTTTTATTCAGGGGTGAAAAAGGCTTGCGAGCTGGGCCGGGAGGTTCTCGAAATAGGCGCCAAACTAGTACGAGCAGGAGTCACAACCGACGAAATAGACAGAGCCGTACATGAGGCATGTATTCAACGAGAGTGCTACCCTTCACCGCTTAACTACTACACCTTCCCGAAATCATGCTGCACATCAGTGAATGAAGTCGTTTGTCACGGGATCCCGGATTTGAGACCCCTGCAAGATGGAGATATAATCAATATTGACATAAGCGTATACCATAAAGGCTACCATGGAGACCTAAATGAAACATACTTTGTGGGAAAACCAGACATGGAGAGTTTAAGACTGGTAACTACAGCTTATGAGTGCCTGGATTTTGCCATCAAATCGTGCAAACCAGGTATGCGATATAGAGACGTGGGTGCAATTATACAGAAGCATGCTCAGGCGAATAAATGTAGTGTGGTGCGGACTTACTGTGGCCATGGCATCCATCATTTGTTCCATTGTGCACCCACTATTCCCCACTACGCGAAGAACAAAGCAATCGGAGTAATGAAGCCAGGACACTGTTTCACAATTGAGCCCATGATCAATGCAGGCAAATTTCACGTAAGTTTTGCAATATTATCAATAATTTATATCGATGCGCAATTGGTAGTGCTGATTAATTTAAATACGCTATTTGAAAAAATTGCAAAAGATTGTCAATTTGTTGATAATAGATAATTTTCGAGATGTTCTAAATTGGATTTTACGGAATAAGAGGGTGGGTACGAAATAAAGTGTTGTACAAGTGTAATTTTCGAATAGCCTAAATGGAGTACTTGATGATTTCTATGTCTTGCATAGTGTATGCTCAATCGGTTGAATATAATTTGATGGTTGTTTGTTTAGGATGAAATGTGGCCCGATAATTGGACATCGGTGACTTGCGACGGCAAAAGGTCTGCTCAGTTTGAACAGACTTTACTTGTAACTGAAACAGGAGTAGAAATACTTACAAAGAGACCAGAAGGCCTCACTCCGGCTCATTTCATTCAGCAGTTGAAAGACTTCGGAACGGAACCGTACGAATCGGTGAAATGATAAAAAAGTTGATGTTTGATGAGCCCTTGTTCCCTAGAGCATTCGATTCCCTTGCGAATTCATTTGAATTGATTGATGTTTGAGATAAATTAAAAAATTAATTCTTTCCTTAATAGTTTTTCATGTCCGTAGTTTATATCGATAGTGTTTTTGTTATGCGCGAAAGCAAAGGATACAACAGTGATTCCTTCGGACGTTTGCAAACTGTCTAATTACTAAATGCCACTAGTGCACAAGTCAATGATCTTTGTAAATTGAATAATCACTGTAAGATAGGTTTGTAAAGGCATTTTCTTTGTCTTCCGTATATGAATTTTTAAATGTCAAGCAACGCGGTGAAAAGACTCGTAAAGGCCTTGTTATTTAATTATTTTTTCAAAAAAATGTCTTAAAAGGTTCAGTTTTGACTTTCAGCGGTTTGACATTGATTTTTTCGAGTAAATTTGCAAATTCATCGCTTAAAGGGGACAAATTACGAATGAATTTATTTTTTTTTGGAATGTAGATTTTAATATTTGGATTTTTCAGCGAAATAAAAAAAAATATGTCTTTTCCAGTTTTCTAATTTTCGAATTTAATAGTTGTTTTTCGTGTTTTGGTTAATAGTTGTTTTCCGGCCAATTGCATGATGGTAAGATGTGCGATATGAAGAAGAACTCTGCTCACCGTGCTATTTTTAATGTATAAATGGTTTTTCAAAATTGGTGTTCTAATATGGGGGGTATAGAGACATGATATTCAGAAATTATTCAAAAAAAAATGATATCAAAATTACCTTTTGACTTAGTTTTCTCTAGTTTTTTTTTGCTCTATGAAAAAAAAAACATGTCAAATTAGCTTGCATAAATTAGTGCTGATCAAAGTTGCAAAATTTCAGTATCTGTGTACTGGTCTATTTCTAATTCTGTTTGGCAATTTTAAAACATATGTTTCAATAACATGTGTTTTATCCGATCTCTAGTTGGCTGATTTCTTGAATTTTGGGAGATGTATTGGTCTAGCTGTGAAAACTATTGACCACAAGGCTGGAGATCGGGGTTCGAATCCCGAGCGTAAAATGTTTTTTATTGTTGAAGGATTATTTAGTTTCTTGCTTTTTCCCATGTTTTTGATTGCATTTGCGAAGTGCAGCTTCGCCTGTCTAATAATTTAGATAAAACTACGATGTTTTAAGCTGAAAGACAAAACTTGGAAGTTGCTAAAACTTGGATAAATTGTTGTTTGTCTTAAGATATTAGTCTGTAATGCTTTGATTTTGATTTAGGTGCAATTTTTTCTGTTCCTGTGTTTCAAATCAGTTTTCTTTTTTTTTTGCTCAATTTATTTTCCTAATTGGTCGTTTGACCCTAAGTTTCTTGGGAAGCTGGCTTTTCAAATTCATTTTTAGAACAAGTAATGCTCAAATTGTTTCCCAATGCCAGAAGTTGAAACTGCGGGAATTTTCTCTTCAAAAATTGCCGGTATTATACTTTCGTGATCAGCCGGAGGTACTAGATGTTTTTGCTAGAAGTTGAATAAGCAGAATTCGGCGAATGAAAATATCATTCAGTGCTTTTATCTTAGTCTCATGTCGGTTTAAACTGATTTTTCAAAAATGAAATTTGAGTTCCAAAATTTTTTAAATGAAAGTTGGGGAAAGGTGAAAGAAACATCCAGACAGCGTAGATTCTGGGAAAGTTCTCTGAAAAGCTTGCATGGCGGCCTGCTGTAGTTCAACGACCAATTATTGAGCCTACTGTCAGTAGCTAGTATTTTAGAGCTGTCAGTGGCTAGGACAGCTTAGAACCTAGTTGTACACTCCAACTAGGTTTTCTTTAGCTGGTAGGGCTAGGTGCGTGGCGATGTAGTTTATTGCAGTCTGAGCTGAGTGCTTTGTTGTACACTTGAAGTAACAAAATTGTTCAGGTCCTTTGTCGATATTCATTTTTTCTCGTAGAAATATCTTGTTTATGTTCTTTAGAAATATACTGGTTTCAATAAAATTATCGCCTTTGGTAATTGCTCTCACTCAGCATTTATGGGTTTGATGCTTTGCGCAACCCTATTTCGTATTCGTTTTATTCTTGTGTAGCTTTCGTGGCATGATACAGCTTGTATTTGTTTGTCTTTGGAAGATAAGGTAAAAGGAAAAGACGCTTCAAACAATAACAGATAGAATGGCTCAACAATGTTTTAATTACAAAGCAGGCTGATTTTTAATAAAATCTTCAAACGTCTGATAATGCCTTCAATTAGCACTATAAAGGCTATCTGTTTTAAACTCGCGAAATGGTTTTCTCTTTTTTATAGTTAATCGAAATGCAACAGTTTTTGTGACTAAATGCATCAAGTGAATTAAGAATTGCTTATCTGGCCTAATTTAGTATACGTAATTTGAAAACTAGAATGTTTAAAAAGGGTCTCAATTTGAAACAAATTTTCAGTATTTACATTGGTTGAAATTGTAGTGGGGTTATCCTGTTTCGAGGTGATTAAAACGGGGTGTTCTAGTAGGGTGTTGGATAATGTGGGGATAAAGAGTGGGACACCATCACGTTTTTTTCTTGAAATGGTTATTCGAACTGCATATCCTTTTTTATTGTATAATATTGAAAAAATGACACTATTAAACAAGAATATTTTTTTTGTAGAGTATTTCATTATGGTCGCTAATTAGCTTCAACTGCAATAACAGAATTCGTTGCCGAATGAGTGTAGCATATATTCACTCTCCGAGATTACAACAGCTATCGGATTCGTTCACACGTTGCCAGCAACGAGCGTCTCGTGTTCACGAGTTGATAGTCGCGTATGGACTGTTGGACTCGGAGAAAACCAATACTAGAGTTGTAGCACCGAGAGCCGCTCAGTCTGAGCGACTGAAAAGTTTTCACGATGCTGATTTTGTGGACTTTTTGCTGCAATGCTCTGATGGGTCAAGGGAGGACGACGAGTTTCAGAAGAGCTGTGAAGTGTATGGCTTGGAATTTGAATGTCCAGTTCTAGACGAGCTAGGCTAGTATAAAGCGTTTATAGATGTAATGGTTTTGAATCACGGCTGCGCTCAAACTGGTATCCGAATTTTTGGGTTGCTTTGAGTTCTCGCAGAATGTCCCAAAACTAAAAAGCTGTATACTTACGTGTCTACTGTTGTGCAGTATAAACTGTAAAATTAATGTGGTAAAGCAAATTCGGAGAGAGAACATAATAGGTCCTATTCTTTGAAAATGTTCGAAATTTCCTTAGTCCTTGTTTGCCTATTCTGTGTATTGCCCTAGTGCTTTGCATAGAAGCAACGACAATAAGATAGGTTTTCAATAAAGATGTCTTTTTTTCCAGGTGAGTACGTGCTGCTGTTAGCGGGTGCATCACTAGACGCTGCTGAGTGTCTTGTTTCTGGAGCGGCGAAGATTGCAGTCAACTGGTTCGGCGGATGGCATCACTGCAGAAAAGACTACGCAGCAGGTACAAGGCATCAGTCTTGTAGATCCGATATAAAATAGATTGTTTCTTATACAAACGAAACCAAGTCTTAACGAAACCATTTATTTACTTAAATGCAAGTCCATTGTCATAGCGATTGAGTTGCATATTCCTACGATGAAATTGAACTTGCTAGTTTTTTTTAACAAAAGCTTACAGAACTCCAGCGACCTGGAATTAGCCGACATTTTAAATGCTACTGCTAATCGCGATTTTATTTGTTCGGTCTGTAAATATTGTTATATACAACCCGCTGGTGACATTTTTGTGACCAATTTATACCCCAAGAATGATTACGCTTGCGAGAGCAACTCGTGTAATCGAGAATTCGTTTTTTCCCCTCAAACAATTTTTCTTCCAGGCGCCTTTCTATTTCCTCTTGTTTAAATGACTTAATTTCCTAAGATTTTTTTTCTGATTTAATCAATTTTGTATTTTGGCGATGTTTAATTGGCTTTGTCTACTTTTTTGTATTGTTTGAAAGGCAAACATTTATTACTATTTAAAAAGAAATTAAGGACGGTTGTGGTGTAAATTTTTTGCGACAACATTTTCTTAGGGTAGTTATTGCCTCGATGAGCGTCTGTCTACCGAAGTAGCGCGGGAATTTTTTTAAATGCTGGTGTTGTTTCTCGATTTATTCTCTGAAATTGAATTTTCATTCTTTTTTTCTATTCACTAGCTTGCAATGCTACGCTTGTTCAATCTCAAGTGATGCAACGCTGCGCCTGTGTAAAAATCTTGAGAACAGTAGGCAGAAATTTATTTATCCCAACAAGGGAAGGGAGCTTCATTTAAATTGAAAAATGACTATTTTCATTATGATCCTAATTTATCAAGTGCTTTTTTGAGTTTTATTTGGTCAGTGCAATGTTTTCTGGTAGATAGAAATTGACGAATTAATAATAGAAATTTAATAGAGGACGAACTTTTTTTTGAAAATGTATATATAAAGTGAATATAGAGGGGTGGTCAAAGGAATGAAGGACCAATGAGAATCGGAACTTGGTGTTGTTTTTTCAGTATATTTTAATTAGACCTTAAATCATTGAAAGGATGCCAATTTTTAAAGCATGAAAAGTCAAGCTTTTTATTGAGTGTTGACGAACGTAGTAAATACTTATAACGGTCTCGGTGATTTTTTTAATAAAGGTCTCGGTGAAAAGAATACAGATGTGCATTCATACCTTTCTAATGCATTTATGTATGTACATAGCTATATATGCACACTTTCAATAAAAAATCATCTGCTTAAGCTTTGGTAAATTCGACTCACCAAATACGAACGTGGAAATGCGCGAAAAAAACGTGAGCGACTTCTACTTTCGAAAGTTGAATTTTATTTTTAGATTTCCCAGCGGTATAAAAACTTTACTAATGACCCAGTTTTTTTCAAATTGAGTTAATGGTATCAAAAAAGTATAAATCGTAAATTCGTGTCTGGAAATTGAAAGAGGGTTAAGGCCAAATATTTTTCTCTTTCCTTGCTTCATCGACTTTCTTCCAACTGTGTTTGACTGTTTTTCACTATTTCTAAAAAAAATTTAAGTCTGTATTTTATATTGTCCGTACCTTTTAGGTGACGTTCAGGCGAGTCTACAGGTAGAATCTTATTGGAAGTCAAAAATATTTGTTCCTACGTTTTTCAAAAGTTTCAAATACTTTTAAAACTTGTGATTTTCCATTAGCCAGAAGGTTTTAAACCGTCATGATTTCAGCTTAGATTAACAGCCCGTAAATTAAGCCTGATAGAATTCTTTCAAAACCTTTGATTTTTATAGATGAAAGATATATAACCGTTGCCTTCCGACGAAATGTTTTAAAGTCTCATTTTTTCATGAGCAATAGAAGTGCTCCCATTAATGTTTCCAGTCTGCTGTTTTCGGATTTCTGACAATTACTAGTTCATTTTGGAAAAACAGAAATATTCCAAGACGATAACTTTCTATTTCGCCTCTTAATAAAGTGAAAGAGTAATTTTAAAATTAGGATTTCATGTCTCTTGTTTTAAGTTATTTTTTTTTTCGGATCTTATGGTAGTTTTTAAGCAAAATATGGAAAAAAGCTTATTGAAATTTGTTCCTGAGAGTCAATAGTGATATTCAACTTGTATTTCGTAAAAGGCAGTTCATTCATTGATACTATTTTTGGCTCGAGAAAAACATCCTTCGAAAATAGATAAGTCATATAATGCGTTTTAGCTAGTACAACCATAAATTATAATTATGTACTGTTCTGCGCTTTGTAAAAAAAGTACGTTCTTTTCTATTTTGCTGGGAAAGCCCTTTTAGTGAATGTTCGCGCTTAAATGCTTACCTTGTGTTTCATTTGATAAATGAATACCTTCGTGTAAAATGATAAAGATAGAAACGCTTTTAATTAATTTCTGTTTGTTTCGTCGTTGGATTGATTAATTTCTATCAAATTGTGTTATCTGAAATAAATCAACATCCGATGTTTCACGACACTCGATTGATCTTTAGCGTAAAAGAAAATGAAGTGTACCTATGGAGTCTTGTGGTCTCTAATAGTCTGCTCAAAATTGTTTTTTTTTTCATGAAAAGATTTGATGTAGATAATAGCGTTTTCAGTTTAATGGTATGAAAAAGAAGATAGTTTTTTTAAATTTCAAATATGACTTTGTTGTAGTGCGGGACATTTTTTAATGCAATTATTAATAAAGAAACTTATATTAGTGAAAACATTGATTGTACAGCTTTTTTGTGATTTTAATCGTTATTTTATTTTTGGGTGTTAGCTGAAAAAAAAAATAGAACCAAAGGGCAACAAAAGATAATTATTTGGGTTGCTTCCTCACTTAAACTTGACCTGTACTTTTATGTATTTTTTCATTTGGTGGATTGAATTCTGATGTTGATTTCTAGGGTTTTGCTACATCAATGACTGTGTTTTGGCGATTCTTCACTTGCTCAAGAAATTTGATCGTGTGCTCTACATTGACTTGGACGCTCATCACGGGGACGGGGTGCAGGATGCATTCTACTGCACTAACAAAGTGTTCACTCTCTCATTCCACAGATACACGCCTGGACTGTTCTACCCTGGAACAGGCGAAATCAGGTCAGTTATGACCCAAACGTGAATAGGTTAACGAGCGTATTGGATCTACTTAACAATCTCACCCCCCCCTATTTTGTCTACTAAAGAATCTCCACCCATGTAAATAAAAACAGTAAGCTCGCATAGTAAAAGAGCGTTGTATGTAAATTCGAATTTTACTGCATTCTGATTGGTCGAATATTCGCACCAGCTAATCTACTTAACAATATCTCTCCCCCTTTCTTGAAAAGGGGGGGGGGGGGGGAGGGGGAGATTGTTAAGAAGATCCAGCTAGTTTAACATGCTCTAAAATACAAAAAAAAATTTATCCTCCTAGTCTGAAACAAGTATTTGAAGTGGGTACAAGTTGTATTCGCAAACCGTCCAAGCTTCATTATTGCTCAGAATCATATCAATGAATCAAACGAATTACAGCAAGGGTTCAAGTTTTTATGGTTATTTAAGGTAATGATTATTTAAAAACCTAAGGTCTGCTCAAAGCCTTTTGTTTGATTTGTTTCAGTGATACAGGAAGTTATAAGGGATTGAATTACTGCCTCAACGTTCCATTCAAAGAAGGCCTGAAATCATCCGACTTTATTGATGTCTGCACCGTAGTGTGCGAACAAGTCGTGAGAGGGTTCAAACCCGAGGCGATTGTGTGTCAATGTGGGGCAGATGCACTTTCCCATGACCCAGTGGAGGCTTTAAACATTACTCCAGATGCTTATGTTAAAGTAAGTGGTTTTTCCACTAACAAGAATAAATTGCCAGTGCAGCGACTGAATTGAGCGGAGGATTTAACCTTCTATCCAAGTCGAGATGCAACTTTTTCACACTTTTGCTGCTACAATGTCTTTCCTGTCGCTTCAATAAAACTACGACTAAGGAGAGCTTAGGCGAGGAAAAAATACGACTTTTCGGTTCGTTTTGTCCAAAATCCATTGTCAGCTTGTTGTAACATTTTATCATAAGTTCTCCATGTTATTTCAGCGAATTGGACGGCTTGTGTTAACCTTGTTATAACGTAAGCGGAATGAATTTTCCGAGTTCTCATAGGCTATAGAGACCAGCTTTTACAAAAAGTGCTGATTTCGAATTTAAAAAAAGCCTGCTTAGGACATCATTTTTTGTAAAAATGGCTTGTTTTATTGCGCTCACTCCGCCGTGAAAACTCGTTTATATTGTATTGGTGCCCAAGGCTTATTTGGGAATTTATTGGGAGTGGTTTGGCTAGAAAGGAGTGTTGGAAATTAGAAGGGGACCGTTTTAAGAGGTGATGGTAAAAAAATTCCCGATTAATGCTGCTGGACCATTGTGTGGTTTCTATTCCGGGATTTTAAAAATCACATTAAAAAATTGGCTGTTTTGAGGTATATTTCTCTCTGCTTGTACTTCTTATGCGAAAATAAGAAGGATGATCAAGACTCTTGAGGTTTAAGTGTTAAGTGCGGCATTTGGAAACTAGGATCCCCGTTCGTTCAAGGTGTTTCAGTCGGTACAGCCAAAAGTATCTCAAATCAGCAGCTAAAGCTCTTAAGAGTGATGCGTTCCTCAGTGTTACTGAATGAGGATCAGAAATCTTTGAGAGTAATGAACGTAGTGAGTACTTTTATATAGGTCTTGCTGATTTTTTTTTTTGCTTTTTTCCGGAAAAAGTCTAAAATTTGTTCAAGCTCAGCCTTGATTTTTCGCGGTTCGACACGTGATTTCATTTCAAGTTCAGTCCATTTTCCTTGTGAGGGCAAATTATACTATCGAACAGCAGAAGTGGAAGTGTAAAGGTCACGAAAAACTTGATCAACTTCTAATTTCGAAAACAAAAATTAATTATCAGATTTTCCAGCCAAATAAAAGTTTTGCCTATTGATCCAATTTTCTCAAATTGGGTTAATTTTAACATAAAAGTGTCCAATATAAATTGTTCTACAAATTCAAAGAGCTTGAAGGACATCGATTTGTTCCTCGAAATTCAAAAATTGAAGGTTTTTGAAAAAACAAGTCAGTTTTTTTTCAGGTTCCTTGCGTTCATTACTCTTTTTCAACTGTCAGTTGGCTATGTTTGTTTTATTTAGGTCGAGTGGTGTTTTTTTCGTTGTTTCTTTTTATTTCTTTTTAAGTTTGTTTCAAGTTCATTTAGTAAAACGAAGGCAAATTTTGTTCTCCAATAACGAAAAGCAAATAACGCAAAAATCGTGATTGGCTTTCAGTTTATTTTCTAATTGGGTTAGTTTTATGAAAAAAGTGAATCATAGACAATTAAGCCATATATTTTGCCCGAAATTTGAAGTATACTATCGAAAAAGTTCTAAAAAAAGATCAGCTCTGACCTTTTTCCAATTATCTGTTGGCTCTTTTTTTATGTGATGTTTAATATTGACTCTTGCCGTACTTTTTCTTGTCAAATCGGGTTCATTGTTTAAATTTAGTCATAGTGTCAATGAACATAGTTAAGACACTTATGTAGGAGGTGATGGTTTTCTCGGTAAAATTATTTTCAGGTGATTACACAGGCATAGCTTGTGTTATAGTATGAACTTGCTTTTTTTCCAACCTAACTTGCAAATATTGTTGCGACGCAAAGATTATTGCGGGAAAATGTGTTCATTTTGAAAGGGTTCATTTTGATCAATAACCAGCTATTAAGTACAGCCAATGCTAAGGATATTAACACAGACTATTTTATTACAAATAGCACTTTAGCTTCAAGGTATCATGGAAGGAGACCAGCAATAAAATTAGAGGGTTCGAACCTGGGCAGTGTCGGATGTTTTAATTAACTTTTTCGTATGCTAGTTAAAATGCGTCCGCTCTATAAATTGAGGCATGTTAGTTGATAATTTTCATTTTTTTTTTCAAATTGACTGGTACTGCTAATGCATCATAATTGGCTTGCGTCACTTAGCAATTATGTAGACTTATAATTGGCCTGCTTCACTTAAGAAGTTTTGCAGACTCAAAGTTTTACTCATTCAATTTTTCCCAGTAGCGTTATCGGTCATTTTTGTGCTTGTGTATGTGAAGTGCAACTTCGCTTCTGTTTGATTTTTGTTCTGATTTTTGTTCTGATTTTAGAAAAGTTGACTGCGTTCGGGTATCGATCCGCAAATCTTTGGATTGCCAAGAAAGTATGCTTGTTTTTAATTTATGGTCATTGATACTCAACTTTAATTTGTATCCAAATCTCAATAACGGAGATTGCAGCGAATATAAATTTTGTAGATTATATGGCGGGGTAAAAATGTATTTTGATACAGTTTTTCAATTGTGTTTATTTGTCAAAACTCTTCGGAGAATTATTATTTTATTTTAAATGTTTAGCAAATTAAAAGCTTGCTCGTTAACTTTTTATTACGCTTTTTGTACTTATACGGGAGTTTGGATCTCGTAGTCTCCCGGGGTTTTAGTTAATTTTTAGTCGATTTTCTTGCAAAGCATACTTTTTATCTTCTGTATTTTTGTTTTTTGTCCGTTTCTAGAGCCCGTATGAAGTTTTTTTGGTGCGTGTATGCGAGTTGAACCTCTTGGGAATTCCTATCGTATTGTGCAGCTTTTGTCTTTTAATCCTTGCACTCTGCGGCATCACCCGCCAATTTTTTTTTTGTTCTCGTCTTTTCTACTAATTTTTTAAAGTTTTCAACATTCTTTTTCTGTAACATTTGAGACCCCGACTGGTGTGTTCTAAACCTTCTTCGTTTTCATCGCAACATTTCCCTTTCAAATAAGTTCATATTTTTATCCAGTTTTTCCGCTTTTGATTACAAAGTACAGCTTCGCATCTGTGTATGGGATAGATTTTTGCCAAGAAAATTTCCCCGAAAGCTTTTTTATAGGATAGCCTAGTGTGTTCAGATAATTTGAAAAATTTCAAAAAAATAAATCAATATGTTTTCCAATCGCGTTTTCGTTACTGCTTCGCAGTCAGTGATACCATTTAAAATTTAAATTGCTTAAGAAAAAAATTGTTGGCATCAATTTATACTTTTCCGAAACTATTTAAATTTTTCTTTAGAAATTTAATTCTTTTTTCAGTCTGTTTTTTAGCGATTTTTCTGCCAAGTTTGGGGAATTTTCGCAATTTTGTGAAAAGAAACTTATTGGGCATATCTATTTGCCACAATAGTTCATCAAATTTGTCGTAAAATTCAGATTGTTTGCTTTTTCCGCGGAACTGTGAAATGTGAAATTAATTATCACGAGTAAACTCTTTACTTTGGCGTCGGATCGAATACCGCTGTAGCAATTTAATTTTTTCAATTCAAATTGCTCGATCGAAATTATTATCTCTCATTTGAATTGAGTGGGATCATAATTTAACATTTAAATAAATAGAAATTAAAATGAAAATTTATATTAATTCAATTTTTTTAATGGACATCACTGTGCGCAGTAACGTTTCTTATTTTTCTGTCGAGTACATTTTATTTGTAACAAGGTTTTAAAGTGGCTCATTTTAAGGTTGTCCAAAAACTGATGTCGCAGAATGTGCCTCTTTTGCTCTTGGGTGGAGGAGGATACCACAGAAGTAATACGGCCAGATGTTGGACCTCAATTCAAGCCGCATTAACCCATAAATGGCCACTCAGTGGGGACATACCAGAGCACGAGTACCTGGACGAGTATGGTCCCAGCTACAGTTTGGAAGTGAAAGAATCGAAAATGAAGGATTTGAATACAGACGATTATTTGAAGTCCTTAACCGATCACTGTGAATCTATTTTATCGAAACTCTGAAATTTGCATCTGCTTGAATGAATTGGTTGATGTTTGTTGTTTTCTGTAAATCTTTAACTATTTTTCTATTCTGAATCAATTATTCCGCTTGCTGGCTTTGAGTTTTATTGCAGTTGAAGTTTAGTTTGAAGCATGGCCGGTAGTTTTGTTCATTTTAGATTGAGATGCCTACTAATATAGACATTACTATTAAGACTTTAGATGGAAACTCGAGGAAGTTTGAAAACATATCGAACGAGCTGACAGTGAAAGAGCTGAAAGAAAAAATAGCTGGCAGAGTCAATATCCCAGCAGACAGGCAGCGTCTCATCTATGCTGGTCGTGTTTTGAACGACACTAATGCTCTCTCAACTTACAATCTAGACGGCCAGGCCATCCACCTAGTTGAACGACAGCCAGTGTCTAATCAGCCAAATAATGCTGCTGGAAATGCTTCCGCTCAAAATGCTGGAGCTGCACCTCATCGTCACATGGGGCCAATGGGCTGGCAACGAAGTCCTCTGAATCCTAACATGGGGCCAATGGGCTGGCAACGAAGTCCTCTGAATCCTAACAATCCTAACATGCCTCGAACGCAAGTGCGAGTTGTCGTCGGAGGTAACCCATCCAGAGGTGTTGGAAGAGCAGTCCCGATGCATGGATTCCCCGGTGCCAGACCTCCACATCAAGTGCCACCAGAATTCTTGGCGCGTGGTGGAAGACCGCCTGGTTTTACTAGAATGAGAATGAATCGACCTCAGTTTCCTGGCGACTCGGGAAGGCCAGCAACTACTCCGGTTGATGCTGGTGCAAATCGCGTAGAACATTGCAAAAAGTACATTGCAAGTACAAAGCATGTTTTGCGCCACCTGAAACGCTTGAAGGAGAGAATCAATAATGCAGATCAGTCAACTTCAAATGAAGAAGCGTCCGGGGCTAGTGGTACCGAAAATAATGAGGAAAGTGAAAATTTAGAGGAAATGGAATCACCGGATACGCAAACTCCTCAAGATGAGCCAGTGACCGTAAATGCAGAAGAAACGACTGACGGAACTCAGAGATCAACTGGTCCTGCGCCTCAATCGGGACCTACTACAGATAATCAACAAAACTTGCCGCGAGCTTATCCCGCCGCTGAAATTATAACGCTACACAGATCTGTAAATGAATGTGAAAAAGAACTGCAAGAATTTGTTGACTTGTGTGAGACTGTTTTAGCTAATGTAAACGTGGAACAGCCTCGAAATATTCAGAACATGCATCGAACACTGATACATGGCATTGGAGAGGCAACTCATTTTCTCGCACATGCACAGCATTCACTCTCTGACCTTTACACAAATTTGTCTCATCTTCCGCCGGTAGCAATGGCCCACCCGGTTGCGGTTAATGCATTCACGGCTATCGAAATTGTACCTCAATTGGCCACTATGAATGGCCCTGTGATGCAGCAGCCTCCAATCAACATTCCGAACGGACCTGTACCTTCGTCAATCCCGACACCCAATGCGGCAGCCACGCCAAACAACACTCCTAATCCAGTTCCGAATAACCAAACTCCTCCAAGAATGCCGCAGATCCCGCCACAGTTTCCACCACAATTCCCGCCCCAGTTTGCAAATCTAGCTAATATGGCGTTCTCGGGGTTTGTACCGGGGCCCAACGCTGTTCCGGTAAACGTTCAGAGGTTTACAATGCCCGGTACGAATAACACAGCTTTCAGAGCCTCATTTAGAACTGCTGTACCTATGAATGTTCCTCCTGTTCCGCAGAATACGGAGCAAAACTCTACTGCGACTGGGAATCCCAACACTGCGAATGTAAACAATACTCAAAATAACATAGGAAATCATGTTCCCAACGCAGAGAACGATCCGCAAAACACAAATAACGCAGATTCATCAGAGCCGCCTGGGAGAACCGGTCCAACGGTAAACGTTTCAGGGTTGCCTCCGGGGATCCAAATTTCCTCAGATTCTTTCGGTCCTCGGGATCCATTTGTGCCTTGCAATTCAAGATTCTTTCAACCCCAACCGTCTAATCGGCCTGCAAGTAGTGCTAGAACCGCTGGTCAGCCAGATTCGAATCAGAACCCACTGCAAAATGAGGGTGAAGCTGTGCCAAATCAACAGCAAAATGAGAACCCTAACGATCCGCTTGGTGGAATGGGCGCCAATCTACAGAACTTGATGCAAAACATGTTCGCTGGAAACAATGACATGTCTGTCGAGATGAACCAAGACTCAGTAGCCGTTGATCCTAGTCGTCCGATTGCGGAACAAATCCAAGAAATTTTGAATAATGTCATGTCGGCTAGAAATCCAGGAGGTGTTGGGCAGGATCCTAACGTCGTATTTTCCGATGTTCAAGTCGAGTTTCAAGGAGATCCAATAGTTGATGGATCATATTCCGAGGAGCATGAAGATCAATCAAATCAACAGCAAATGAACAACCCTTTAAATGCAATGCTAACAAGCATGCTTCAATCGGGAATGGGAAATCCACAAACTAGTCTGTATGATATGCTGCAAATTGGAAATTCAGATGCGAATGCCGGGCTGTTAAATGACGTGACAATGGTATTCGCTAGAGTGATGACGGTTCCAGATATGATAGCGATGATAACTGGACAGCCGAGTGCAATTTCACGCGCGCGAGAACCTCTAAGACAATTTGTTAATCAGAACTTACTTCAAAATGAAGAGTATAGCGACGATTTGTTGCGGCGAAGGATAAGAGAAGGAATCCGAGCCGACAGGACCCTGGATCTTGGCACTGTGCAGTTCAGAGAAGGAGTCAATGGCAGGGAATCATTGCATCAATTTTTTGAGCAGCGAATATTCGATTTGTGTCAATTCGCTCGGAACTCACAACTAACTGACAATCAATTTGCAGAAAACGCTATGCAGTTTTTCAGCAAGTTGTTGTATGAACTGATTGTTTTGTTTTCCCAAATCTTGCATTCCTCGCAGAGTGTAGAAACGGTGCTAGCAAACACACTGCTGGTCGATTTTCTAAGAACACGTGATGCAAATCAGAACGACTCGAATCAAACCCCACCCACCTTTTTCGGTATGAATCTAGCAGGAATGGAACCAATGATCACCATGTTAGTTACCCAACAGTTGTCAAGTTTCTCTACAGTTGCCTCAACTCGAGTCCAAGTTTCAGAAATTGAGCACTTTATTGTCAAAACCGAGCCGCAAACGTCCACAGAAAGCGTAAAACCAGAACCTATGGACTGCTCAGAATCAAGTGAAAAAGAAAGTGGTCCGACTTCGTCAAATGCGGGTGTCAAAACTTCTACTAGTTCAGCAGTTCGCCCTAAAATTCGTGCGAATTCTCAAAATCATAACAGCCACGCTAGACTAAGTTTCAACGTACTTTTACCCGAAGATCCGGAGTCTTTGAACTTGTTTGATGAAAACAATGTAATGCGGGCACGCGAAAGCTGGCTAGAAGTTTTAAGAAGTGACGAAGAAAAACAACAACAAGAGGAGTTTGAGCGGTATTTTAGTGACGCCTATTTGTTCGGAGTACCGGCGAGACATAGGAGTCTAATGACATCTGGAAATGCATTGGGATATGCTGGCTCAATGCGTGGCTTACTCCACAGAACTTTGGCAAATTTGAGCAGTTCAAATATTTCCGATGATGCGTCTCGAAATGCATTGCGTGAAAGTATTGAAGATGACGACACAGTTCAAGACTTGTTCAGTGATGTTCTCAGACAAGATATACGCAGACGGTTTGAGCAAGAACCGGAATTGCGAAACAGAACTTGGACTAAAAAGTACTGCGAAGAAAAGAAATGAGGCCTTCTTGAAGTGTAGCACTATCTTTATTGGCACCTTTAACAGTGTTTATAACTAATGTGGTTTTGTTTCTGAGGCGTTATTTGTAATTATTTAATCTGGTGAAAGTTTAGGAATTGAAATATTTTATTTTATTGACTAAAATTGAATCATTTTGCGCGGATTATTTTTTCTGTCATTTCTAGGTTTCATTGAAATCGATCTTGTTTTTTTTTTAAATATGAGTAGCTTTATTTTGCACGTGAAATACAATTGTGTTTTGTTACAATTTTTGCGCGTGCTTACTGAGACAGACTTAAAACCGGGGCAGAAATATCTTCATGCATGCAACGAGATACTTTTATGATGCGTTAGTGGTTCTAAGAACTAATAACCAGCAAAACATGAAAAAATCTTCACAATAGTACGTTAACATCGGAATATAGGCAATAGAAGGAATTAGGACAAATTTTCGGATCATTAATTATGCGAATACTTTTTTGACGTATTCCCGTCAAACATTTTCCATGCTATTACTGCTGCTTAAAACGCCAGTTGATTAAATTTCAGATTTGTTTAGTCTGATTTTTAAGATTTTGACATTTATTCGTACGTATCGGCAGAATAAACTCGGAAAATTGGCAATCATGCCGGCATTGAACGTGTCATCAGTCGAGGAATTCCAAGAAGCACTGGACGATTTCTTCGCTGGCAATTCAGAAAAATCCAGATTTGACATGAAGTATCGACATTGTGACTCAAAACTAAGACTGAAAGTAACCGATGATGAAAAAGTGGCAATATTTAAAACTAGCAACATACAAGATGTAAAGAAAGTCGAGAAACTGAGCAGTCATGCAATTAGAGCTATGGCATCTAAATAAACTGAATAGTAACGGTGTTATTTTTGTATTTATTGTCAGGTTTTAGAAAGCGTCGCTCAAAAACTCAGCTCCGCGATTTGTGTTTAAAAAAATTTAATATAATTCAAATATACTGTTTCCATTTCGTTTTATTTTAGAATTTTCTTGATAAACTAAAACTGTATCGTAGAAACTCCCAAAAAGTTTTGTCGGATGCGTTTTTTAGGCGGAGGCTTTATGAGTATGTCATGGTCAGACAATGTATTATTTATGTTGAATCAATTTGAACGATTACGATTTTAAAGGACGCGATTATCTATTTGATGTGCATTTTGTAAAATATTGTGACCATAAGTATTAATGCAAAAAAAATGATTTTCAATTAAGTTTTCGGTCGCTTTTCTTTGCAAGAATTTGAATTTAGGCTCAAGATTAACTTAAACAAAAGTTCAAATATGATACAGTCCGTTTTATAATATGTTGGTGCTATTAAATTAAAATCGTTGATTATTTAGTGCACCCAGTGTGAAAATGAGTCTGATAAACGGAAAAAGTTAGATGTTATTTTCTCGACCCAAAGATTTCAAATTTCGCCTTGGAATCTCAATCATGACTGAAAGGGCTTTAACATGCACGAATTTGACAAAAATTCTTCGAGGAACCTGAAAATGCGGAAAAAATTTCTACTAGACAATGGTTCCTTCCCTCTCTTTCAGTGTGCGAGAACGAAAATCGGTATGTGAATGATTCATTGAAAGTTTTGCATTATTTTTGTTTCAAAATTGATTAACGAAAGCAAAACAATTTTCCGACCATATTCATTACCCTTGCGATAAGCAAGAGTATTGCAATCGGGTTCTAGATTTTTTCCCGTAACTAACTTAGAAATGGTCAAAATTAGAAATGGTAAATTGAAGTTCAGTTCATAATCATTTCAAATTTCTTTGCGTCTCTGACGCACATGGTGGAAGGTAACGAATACGCCTGGGACGAAAAAAGTCCTAGGTTCAAGTCTGACAGGACCTGTTTTATTTCAAACTAAATTTTCTGTTTCAAAAAAAAATTTCGGCTGATAATTTGTCAGGTAAAGTTATTTCGACTCAGTTGCCACATCGTGTAATTGTTTTGTTTTGCTGTACGCAATTTACATTCTAGTTGCTTTTAGAGTTTTGATTTACTTCTGTTTGTTATTTCTTGATTTCGTTTATTTTCTTTGTATTTTTTCAGCATAAACTTTTTTCTGACCAAATGATTCCGGCTCATCTTTTGTCAGTTTAGTGGCCTAATTTTGAGTCGTTTGAAGGTAAACATAGTTCCTCACTGGATTTCACGTCTTTTTCGTTTTTTTTTATTTCGGTTTGATTTTGGCCTATATTATATCGGCTTTATTGCACCATATTGCGTCTTTCGATGAGCGGAAACAAATTTACTCACTGGATCGCACAATTGCTAAAATTGTTATAGAAATAATTTTCCAAGTTTTTCATAACCATTTTCTTGATTTTTTTCGGCTTGATAGGTTTCGGCCTTTATTATATCGACTTAAGGGCCTCATATTGCGTCCTTCGACGAGCTTAAACAAATTGAGTCTTTATGTGTGTGTATGTCTCGAGGGTGCGAGGGACTTAATAATTTTTTAATTTTGAATTTTTTGTTGTTTTTTTTAAATGTTTTTTATTGGCTTTTTTGTTGTTTTTATGTTTCTTCTAAACCTATATTATATCGGCTTATATTATATCGGCTTGATGGCCTCATATTGTTTCTTTTCACGAGCAAATAAACTTGAGTGTGTGTGTGTGTATTTTCAGGGTGAGGGGAAATCTCTTAATTTTTTTGTTGATATTTTTTCGGCTGAAAGGGTTTAGCTAAGGTATTTCCGGCTTTGTTACCGCTTGGTAAAATTTCTTTCGATGCGAATTTCACATTTTTTGTCTTGGTTTTTTTTTTCAAACATAATCTGATTCATATTGGTAGATCTGGTTTTTTCGACATTTTGGATTTTTTTCAGACCTAGAGGCATTCTAGTTTTTTATTGAAAGTGGTGCGAAGCGCAGCTGCGGCTGTGTTGATATTTTTGTGTTTTTACAAGAGTTATGAATACTCTGTTGGCTAATTCCTTGAGCGAGCGTTCGAGCATTAGGTTAAATTATGATTCCAACCAATTTGCATCCAAATTGGCAATTTAATAGGAAGTGTTGTGTTCGTCTTTTTTATGGCTAGTGTTTCGATAAATAGAAAAGCAAATGGGGGCAGATGCGAGGACGTGAGATTCTTTATCTCCATGTTGGGGTACGATTCCGTCTAATTGCAAAAGTTTTATTTTAGCCTTTTCTTACCTTATTTTACATTTTAGAGCTATTTGCTATTTTTTGACGTTTTGTCGCTTGTGTTTTTGAAGCATAGCTTGGCCTGTGAAATTTTTCCTTTTTTGCATTTTGCAGCGTGAATAGATTGAATGTTTCAAGGCCCAGAGCCCATGGTTTGATACCCGCTTGGAGCGTTGTTCTTTCGTAAGGATCAGAGACTAAACTTGCCTCCTATTTAATCTGTTGTACTTGATCCAGTTCTGTCATCCCTATTTTGAACTTGTAAATAATAAATTGTAAACAATAAATTGTAAACAAATTGGTTTCTTTGGTTGTATTGAAAAAATTATTATAGCTAACTAATAACCAAAGTTTCTCCTAACCTAGTGTACAAAAAAGCTTCAATAGCGCACATAAAAGATGCTACTGCTATGATGATTTTATTTCTGCTGTTTTGCTCTATTTTTTGGCTTTATTCTTTTTGGGATAAACTGGAGCCGAATCGCCCGACTCATCGTCCTCGTAATTGTTATAAGTCAGATCGGAGTCTAGCTTAGAGGATGGCTTACGTCTGTATTCGCTCCCGCTTGACATGGTAGTGGGCTTTGTGGAGCCTTGCGGCTGGCTTGTCACCATACTAGGACTGTCAGATGAAGCACCTCGTCCGAGAGTTTCAACATCCACGTCAATGCTTCCGGCACCTTGTTGCGAATCACCAGGCAAAACATTCGAGGAGCGACTTGCTTTTCCGTGAAGCTTCCTAGAGGCTCTCGCGCCCGATACGCCATGGATATGCTGGGATGAACTGGATGTCGATGAGGACTTTCTGGACTGAACTGTTGGATACGAATTGGACTCTCCTTGACTCCGAACTGCGCTTGATGGTTTGGTTGACGTTTCATTTTCAATGTTTTCACTTTGAATATTTATACTAGGATCTCTCCGACTACTTTCCGCTTGTGATCTACTCGCCATAGAACGAACAGCACTCGAACCTTGACTTGTTCCGTGACTACTTCCAGCAGTGCGTGATCGAGTACTGCGCATTGACTTTGCACCCGAGCCGCTTATTCGACTTTCTGGACCATTGGCTTGGCTCCCAATTTGTTCCTCCTGCTCAGGTTGCGATTGGCTCTGGTTTATCGACTGCAACTTTGTATTACGACTGCTTTTTGGCATTCTGCTACTTTTGGCGGTCGATCTTTGCGTATTCTCTGGCTCGTTTCTGGCAAGGCTCTGACTCATCGCGGTTTCTCGGTTCGGCACACTTCGCATTATAGTGGCGCTTTTAGCCGTCGATCGTTGCTGAGAAGCTGGGCGGCTCGGTTTTTGCTCTGGTGACGAATCTCGGCTCATAGCCGTATCTCTGTTTGGAACGCTTCGCATAACACTTGCGCTCTTAGCGGTGGGTCTTTGTTGCGATGCAGTGGCTCCACTTGGCTTTTGAGCGGGTGATGAATCGCGACTCATGGCTGTTTCTCTATTGGGGATACTTCTCATTGCACTGGCGCTTTTAGCTGTCGATCGTTGTTGCGATGCTGCACCACTTGGTTTTTGCTCTGGTGAAGAATCCCGGCTCACTCCTGTTTCTCTGCTTGGTGCGTTCCGCGACGTTCTCGCGCTCTTTGCGGCGGAGCGTTGTTGCGATGCTACACCACTTGGTTTTTGCTCTGATGAAGAATCCCGGCTCACTCCTGTTTCTCTGTTTGGTGCGTTCCGCGACGTTCTCGCGCTCTTTGCGGTGGAGCGTTGTTGCGATGCAGGTGCTCTTCTTTGTTTTCGAGCTGGCGACGTATCTCGATCTTGGTCGTTCCGATGTACACCTCGTGACGTCTTAGAACGATCTTGTGGCGCCTCGCTTCTGACAACACTTCCAGTGTTCCTTGATCCGTTGGTTCTCTGGTCGGCGTTCAGACTTCTATCCGAGTGCATGCTTCGGTTTCTAGTCGAGTTTGCGGGACTATTTATTGGAGGTAGTTTGGTTCTGGCTCGTCCGTCAGCACTGCGATCCGAAGCTGCCGAGTGACTGTCGGCGTGAGCACCTCCGTGCATTACATGCTAAAATTGACAAAGTTTGCA